GGTTCATTAAGATGCAACATTTACTTTGTGTCCCTCATGGTCCTGTGCAGTGGTGCAGTGTAGCAAAAGCTCTCTGCACTGTACTGAGGGCAGGCTGCCAGGAACCTGTTGGTTAAAATGCTGCAGGAGAGCCGTGGTGCAGTCCGCTGAACATAAAGACACTATGTGCTGTTTTTGTTGACCCTGTTTAATGAAAACATCCAGGCTGTTCTTGTTAACTAAGCATAGTTGGTATTTCAATGTTTGCGGAGTCTGCTTTACCAAAGTACAGAGATGACATTGCTACTTTATGCACATAGGCTATATGTGCTCTTTCTTTTTCTGAACGTGAAATGTATAGGTTATGTACATACTGTAACAGTGCTAATCAGCTACAGTTCAATCAGGAAATATCAATTATTATGAAAACCAGATTATCATCTTTTCTATTCCCTGCATTTATTATTCCTTGTCAAAACCTTGCGCCTACATTTCCCATAATGCAACTCAAGAGCATTTTCAGCCATGTGTGCGTACTTATAGCAGCTAACGTTGCCTGCAGCATCTAGCCTGTAGCAAAGATGAGCAGTGAGCTAAAGGGGATTGGTAAACGTTATTCTTTTTCACTTTAAACTTTCAAAATATTTTATTCATATTTCAAACGTGTAGTCTAAAGCCCCGGACACACCAAGCCGATTGTGGCCGTCGATGGGCGTCAGGCCGACGATGAGCGTCCTGTCGCCCTACTCAGATTGGTGTGTCCCGCACCATCGTGTCTTTTCAGCCGTGCCGACACCTTTTCGGCCGAAAACCCACCGATTCGACATGTTGATCCGGCGGGCAGTCGGCCAAAGGCTGTCGGCAAAAGAAACCACTCTGATTGGCTGTTCAGCTTAGCGAATCAGTGCATGAGAAGCGAAACGGAAGTGAGGGACCCAAACAAATGATTAAGAAGGCAAATGTGAGATTTCATTTAACTCCAGCTCTCGACACAGGTTCGGGAAAGCCCCATGAGCTTCTTGCTGTAGAGGGAAAATGGAACGCACACGCTATTTGTTGTTTGTTTATATCACGCAGTCTGTCTTCCGGTTGTTGCCTCTTTTGAATGACGAATACACACTACCGCCGCCTGCTGGTAAGGAGAGTTATTGCCACTCACGCATGCGCAGTTCATGCGTGCTTCTTGGCCGCCGGCTTACGTCTTTGCGGTGTGTTCCAGTGCGACACATGGCCAAGACGTAGAGACGTGAGGCGACACAACAGTCAGGGGTCCGTCTGTGTCAGTTCTTTGGTGTCAGCTTGGTGTGTCCGGGCCTTAAAGCCCTACCTGATGCTTAAGTGAAATTACTTGAGGCATTTTCTTAATAAGACTTATATTTGCATCAACTCTGACCTAAATATGTATTTCAGGCTATCAAGAACACATGACTTTGTTTGTATTTCAGTTTTATATAAGAATTTACCCAGCAGAGACTGACAGGAAACATGAACAGAGATAACAGGCAGCAAAGGCCCTCAGCTGTATTTAATACCCTTATGTCATAAACACACTTTAACAGCTGATTGAATAACCATAGTTAATGTGATGGGCCTTAACACTGAAGATTTGAATGAGCATACATCTGAGCAGACAGCAAAGCATAAAGCTAAAGTTCCACATTTCACAAAGAGTCCATTTTCCCACTCTTTCAGCCAGCTGGTCGAATCCTCCCACGCTTGCAAGTTCCTCTTTATCTGATTTGTCTTTACATGTTCTACCCATACACGTCAACTCAGCCATTGCTCAAAAAGCTCCCTTGGCTCACATCTAGTGCGTCAACAAAAGTGGGCTGACCTATCTTTCTTTAAAGTGGGAGGAAGGAATAACTTCAACCGTTAAAGTTGCAATATTTTAAACTGTTGTTTCCTTCACACACGTTCCTTCTGCACGATCACCCACTCTTGGGCGATTGCCTTAACAACCCCACTCAACATGTATTAAGGATATATCTAAGAACTCAAAACGTTGATAAACATAAATGCTCTCATTTCGACCCTACAACTACCAGTTGGTCTGTTTTTTGGCATTGGTAAACTGCTGGCCCAATAACAAGGAAGGCTTAATAATGTCTCAGTTTACTTGTCATATATTCCCGACACAGCACCACTGGCATTGCCACCAGGAAGCTCATCAATCTTACATGTTGTCTCATTTCACTTGCATCTTCAAATTCTGGACAATTCTGATTTCTAGAGATCCTTTGGAATTTTCTTGAAAGGTTCCTAGATTTGTTATGTTTGTCCGACCTAATTATGAAACAGCAACCCTCAAATATGTAACTACCTTTCAAAAGTAATGATCTAGATACTAATGTAAATACTACAAGCCTCATACATATCATTCACCTTCTGGATCACCTTTCTTTCTTTTTTTGGCACTGACACCAATCAACAGTTGTGCGTCGACTCGGCAGGGATCAAGGCACGTATATGCCTCTCCCTGCTTCCACCGTCTACACACATCAACTATAAGCTTTATCAACAAGGAAGCGTACTCTTAAAAACAGATAGGCCAGCAAAGCAAGCATTTCAATTGGCTTTGAGATGGATTCAGACATAACCAGTGTGTTACATAATGTTTTAGCCCTGGCATATGTATCTAAATCCCCATCTTTAGTATAAAACATGTTCCACTTTACACTTAGCATCAGACCATAATTCCAGAGCTGAGCTTCCAGTCTGAACACATATCATAAACACATTTAATCACACCCCATATCATACATACATGACAACCGGATGAAAAAAAGGAACAATTCAAAGAACCAGGAGAAATCTTGGAGGGAGTTTGCCCTCCTTTCTTTTATTATTCTTTCTATTTTAATTGTGTTTCCTAAGATCAGAGCATTGTGTGGTACCAGCCTCAGAGTTCAGTAGATGTGCTGACTTGCATATGAGCAAGCAGGCAGGAAGGCGTTGTGATATGCAACGGTTTGAAGTGGTAACTGGGCCCTCTGCGTCCCGCTGGCTCCCACTGCCACTATAATTGGTCGGCGAGAACTCCACTGGGAGGAGCAGGAGAGAGTTTATTGGAGCACAACTCACCCCAGGGCTTCTTCATGAAAACAAAGCTCTCCATGACATTTTCGCCAACAGGCTCCGGACATTTTGCGGCGATAATCGCAGACAGCAGTGTGCCTGCATGTGAGCCACAATCATGCACACACACTGATATTCAGAAGCACACACTCAGACACGTTGAGCTCATAATCATGCAGACTTCGAGAGATACATGCTTGTTTGTATCTTATCTATGCATTCTTCAGCTAATGGACATATTTTTAGACGTCATGCATTCCGATGTTCAAACACCTCCACGCACGTACACATCAACATACAAAAATGAAAATATTACACTGAAAAAACTGAAATATTGACTTTAATTCAATGTATTATGTCAACAGATTTCATATTAACTAAATTCAACGTTTCAGATTTTTCAGTGTAACTTAATTTTGCACAGATGCTGTAACACACCTTGACATACTGCACACATACATAAGACACATGTAGATCAACTGCTAATAACACACACAGACATGATTTAAAACTGATACACAGAGAAGCAATTGTAACCCAGGCCAATGCAAACACACACACACACACACACACACACACACACACTCACACACACACACACGTTTCCCTGTTCTATTTGTGCTCTCCAACAAATGTGTCCAGCCAGCAGGACATCACAGTCCCTACAGTTGATCAGTGTCCAAGAAAGGATAAATAAATGAAAGAGGAAACAATTGGAAGCTCAGGCTTTCATCCTCAGCTCTTGGTAATTCCATCCCAGCAGCAGTGCCAGTATAACTCTGCTGCTGCGCTCCGTAAGCTGATATCCCCTCTGGATCTTACCCATTGTCCCGTGTATCCTTCTTGTGTTATTATTAGTGTAACTTACTCCATACTGTGGGATTGTGTGTGTGTGTGTGTGTGTGTGCACGTGTGCCTGCATGTGTTAAATAGTTCTCCATTACATATGGTTGAAAGTAGATGTATGATGTGGGTGGGTTTTAAATGCATCTGTGGTGGCACTCTGTCCTGGAAAAGTGTTTGGCTATTAAATATTTACTGTAGTTGAAATGTCCTCCAATCACACGAACACTGGTTTGATCTCCTGAACTGTGCATTTGTTTCCTCCTTTGATGATCATCAGAATATGGCAACTACACCTGATTCTTTTATTTAAAGATTTTAAGTAAACGGATTCCTCATTTTCATCTTCAATCCAGGGCATTCGTTTCTTATCATTCTCCTGATATGTACAAATGAATTGCATGGACATATTGGCAAATATTTGTACTGGTAAATACAATTATTGTGAACATTGATCATCTTTGCCAGGAAACATTTTTCGAAAAAAGTACTTCTGCAAAGAAACATTTTGGCCTTTTTCAAGGGGTTTGGACTCATTTTAAACAGTAGCATCTGCAAGATAATCCTATACCCAATATGTTATGATCCAGTTAGGAGTGATTATTGACTCTGTTTCTGTTATCTTGGCTGCCCTGACTGTACTGGATTCTAAAGAGACAATTGAGTTGGAGTCAACTCTTCTTTGTGTGGGAGAGGGAAGAAGAAACACCGAGTGAGATCTGCACTTGCTCAAACATATTATAGTATTAGATTATATTTACTTTTCAATATCAATAGCACAGCTTAAAACTAAATGTACTTTTACAATAACAAAATGTCTGTTACATGTGTGTTGGTGTGAAAGAGAACAGTGCTGATTTGCTGCAAATTGAAAATTCCTATGATGTGGCCTTCAAGAGCAACTCATGAGCTCAGACATTTCCATTGCTAGTTTCAAAGTGACTGCTTTAGTCAAAAATATTTTTCATTTGAGAATTTAAAAACCCAGAACTGTGTTGTGCTGTTTGTTGTCTGATGAATACTTGATGAATACTGATGAATTGACGTTCTATACTGTATCTGATGCAGTGAACATTAATCTTGTGTTGGTCTCTCTGCAGTTCTGCTGGGTGTGCTGGGGACATGCGCCCAGACGGAGATGAAGAGGGTAGTTGGGGACAACGCCACGCTGCCCTGCCACCATCAGTTCTGGGTGGGGGACGACCCCACGCTGGATATTGAGTGGCTGCTGCTCAAGCCCACCAACAGGCAGAGAGTGGTGAGTGTCTGTCCAAAGTTGAAAGAATGGAATCTGTAGTTTGGAAATCCATATAAAAAATGGTTGTGCCATTGATGTAGGTTTTTTAAATTGTGTATTAAAGTAATTCATTGTTGATATCTACAGTCATGTTACAGTAAAACAAAGTTAGTTGAAGTAGAAGGGCAGAAAGCCTAGCTCCTAAAATGTGTGAGTAATCCAATTACTCAAATCTACTACACCTCTTAAAATAAATATGAAAGAAACATAAGAAAGAAACAAGAACATATTTCTTATTAACTCTCAAAGGGAGAATACATGTGTGTATTCCGTGGGTGTTAAATTCCTAAACATTTATTTTACTTTTATTGAGAATAGTACTTGAGAATTACTTGTCATCAGCAGTTCAAGTGAAAGGTAGCTGCTAAATTGCTAAAGATAGCAACAGCTAGCTTTATACAAATCTAAAACTAGCAGCACCTTCTGATTATTTGTTATCTGTATTTAAAAAATAAACAAACAAAAACAAATATTTTTTCAATTCGAAATTTAAAAAAAGTTATTCTTTTAAACATCACTTTTTTAGAATAACCATGACATTGGTAGAATTCTGAACCATTTCTGTAATTGTTTTGTGTGTTAATTAGTTTTGAGCAAAAAATATACACACATTTGCAGAAAGTCACCATATTTGTCCCATTATTTCCCCCCCTCCCCCCTCCCTCCCTCCCCCCTCCCTCCCCCCACCAGGTGATCACCTTCTTCGCTGGACGGGTGTTCGACCCCAATGAGGTGGAGCGCAGCCGGGTATCCTTCGCTGGAGAGTACTTAAAGGGGGACGCGTCCCTGGTGATCAGCGACCTGTCCCTCATAGACTCAGGAGAGTACAGCTGCAAAGTGAAGACCGGAGCTCAGTACCACTGGAGCACCATCAGCCTCATAGTGCTGGGTACGTGTCAGACAGCTTCCATTAAATGAGAAAAAGGGTGTGAGAACACAGAACAACACTAGGCCACTGGAGAAAGCTCTTAGAATCACAGCGTTAAATGTAGTGTAGCACATGTACATGTAGTACATGAAGTATTCCGATAGACCAAAGTATGTGATTTGGAGTATACAGTAGATGATGATTTGGCCTGTGACACTCTCATCTATCTTTGAAAGAACTAAAGATGGAAGAAGTGCTCAGATTCTTTACTTAAGTGAAAGTTATGACACTCAATTGTAAAAATACTCTGAAACAAGTAAAGCTTTTGCATTCAAAATCTTAATTAAGTAAAAGTTTTGGCATCAAGATATATACTTATGTACCTACAGTATATAGCCCATTTTAGAATCACATATATTAAATCACTGGAATATGAATATTGATGCATAAATGTGTTAATCGCAGTTGGTAAACGTGGAGCTAATTTGTATTACTTTATACAATTCTGCTGGTTATTTTATGATTTTATTTATATTATGTATTAGTTTATAATCTGAACCTGGAAAGTAATGAGTAACTAAAGCTAAGGCTATAGAAATGTAGTGGAGAAAATAATAAAGTAGGATAACGTGGAAATTCGTAAATAAAGTATCAAAATTGTACTCAACTAAGTAAATGTACTTTTTTTACATTCTACCTTTACCTATGTAAAATATACATTCTGTGTATGTGGTGGCACAGAGGGTTGATCGCTAATCTATCAATCAGAGGGGCAGTGGTTTAATCCCACACACTGCATAGGCATGTCAGAGTATTATAATCAGCTTGTTGTTCTGTACACATATGATCTGCTCACGTTGTGTTTCTTTGAGTGCAGCATCCTGTGGGGAGAACCCTTCCTCAATCAGCGGCCTCTCATTGATTGCACAAACTGTTGGTATTAAATCTGAAAAAGATCGCAGTACATCTATAATGCATACAGTTCCATAAGAAGAGAAAACATCTTTACTATCCAATACATCACTGGAATAAACAAACCCCAGCAGATTGTCCTGCTATCCCTTTTTAAATTATTTATTGCATCCCCTTCCAGTCTGCGTTTCCCAGAGGCAGCTTAACCTTCACACATTATACATCAAGTCACTTCTCACAGCAGAGCCATTCCACCCCACAGTACATCCTTTTTTAAATGGAAAAAGTTACTAAAGCACTAAAGGCATTTGTATTAAGTTCAGCCGTGTCTGCAGTGCTTTAATTCAAATCTGCTTCCTATATATTAAACGTGATTCAGACACTCACAGCTGCAGTACATTCTAGCAGTCAGATTAACATTGGAGCAGTGACGCAGGTGACAGCCAATGAAATCGCTTTGCTGATTGAATATTGGAATTGTCAGAGTGGGTTTTCTTGTGTATGAGCAGATGAAGTGTGATGCACTGAAGGCAAAGAAAGCCAACAACACTGTTCTGAGAGGCTGTCGCAGGTCTCGCTCTCATCCTGAATATGTCACAACAGCTCAAGATTCAAATGGTTGACTGCAATCACACAAGGTCAGAAAGTTCCACAATAGAGCCGCCCTCCCTGAAGGGAAATCTCCCCTCTCTCTTTTTTTTATCCACAACCACTTGTTGATGCTAACACCTTCTTTTTGTCCTGCCGGTTAGTTATGATTTCATGTTATAGTCACTTCAAGAAAATCTTGAAAATCATCATTTTTAAGAACTAGATGAAATGTGCTGCTTGGTGCATCGTGAGTTTATATGAACTGTCTGTCTGAAAGATACTTTCTAGAAACAAATAGTTGGTCTTGGTTAGGGCTGCGTAATATGAAATCATACTGTACACATCATATTGTCAAAACCATATAGAAATGTCTATCATACATATCATTTTCATTTTCGTTTCTAGACTAGGGCTACATTTACAAATTATTTGTCTATAAAGTCACTAATAAATGAGTTACCTGAAAAAATGCTATATTGTGATATACTGTAAATTGTTTAATTCCCTATATCGTAAAAGAAGATATATGTCATATGGCCCAGCCACAGTTGTAGTCCTTTTTAAGAGAAAGTAAACAAACACAGTTCAAATAGAGCAGACTTTACTGCATTTACAGGGAATAATCACATGATCCCGAGGGGCAGCAGCAAATCAACTATCCTTTACAATGAATTCAACCTCAATGCTTCACTGGTACATATACAGTTTGTACTGTAAGTCCTCTGAACCACCTGACCTATCTCAAATTCCACTGCTGTAAATGGACTTGTAAAACATCCTTTATTGTTGTCCTTGTCACAAGCAAAGCCCCTCTGATTCTGAATTCCTCACCACTGCAACATTGCTCAGATGTATTCACTTAACTCAACAATAAAACGCTACAAAAAAGAATGATGGTAAGACCTCCAATGCTACCCATGTTGCCTTGACACGTTGGAGAAAACTACCGTAAGTTCCACTTTGAGACCAACATTATTAGGTAACAACCTCTTGATGTCAACACTGAAGATCGTATTAGTGAAGATGAAGAGTACGTTCAGCCACAGACTCATCCCTCCACGACACAGCACCAAGCGCCTCGGACAGTCCTTTGTGCCTGTAGCCATCAGGCTGCACAACAAGGGGTCAATAATGTAAAAAAAAAATAAAAATAAATCACTGGACATAAATATACACTGTTTCCACAACCCATGTTAATATATTAGTAGTAGACCAAATATGTAGATAGATATGTCACTATATGTGTAGATGTCACTTTTCACTTGTCACTTTAACTCATTTCGTACTTCATAATTTATATGACCAAATATGTATATATGCTGACAGTTATTTTAACTCATCTCCTATTTCATAGTCTTTTATTATTATTATCATTATTATTTTAATTTGTTTTCTTGATTTTATTTTTGATTGTATTAATCTGTGTGAATCTTTGCTGTCCTGTTGTTCATGCTTACTTGTTGCTGCTTGTACAACTGAATTCCCCCACGGGGATTAATAAAGGTCCATCTTATCTTATCTTATCGTATTTGGGACTGATCAGCTGAGGGAAGCCCTCTATGGCTAACAGGACTAATTAATTATGTATTTCCCACTATGAACAGAAGTCCAAGTATAAATCGAGCATCAAACATAATAGGATGGAGTGCAACACAAATCTAATAAAACACAAATCTCCATTTACATAGTCTCATTATGCTTCAGCCCCCTGTGGAGAGCACCAATCTTGTTTGGAAAACGAGCTGAGGAGACATTGTGTAAGAATATCTGTGCTTGTATCTGATTGTCTCTCCGCAGTAAAGCCGTCCAAGCCGCGGTGCTGGATGGAGGGGAAACTGTTGGAGGGGGGGGATGTCAAGATGAGCTGCAAGTCTGCGGACGGCTCTGATCCCCTCCACTACAAATGGGAGAGGGTTATGGACAAGGGCAAATATGGTGGGAAGCTGCCTTCAATGGCCCTAGTGGGTAAGTGCTCACACGTCTGTAGGTTCTATTTGACGGTATTTTGATTTGGACAATGTGCAGCAGCTCTGTAATGTCAACCACAGACAGTTTTTATTCTATTTTCAACTCCTGTACCAAGTTGGGCTTTTAAATGTATAATATAGGAATGCACAACATCAAAACACATACATTTTACACACAATAAACTACTGACCACACAATACTACAAAAATTAAATAAACAAACATACATGCCAGAAATGTTGGGGAAATATATTGGTACAGCCCTGGTTTGCTATAAGCCAGCACTTGAACTACCTTAACATTCATATTATTTCTGGAATGTATTTTTTGTAACAGAAATTGTATTTCATTTTGCATTGTTTAAAATCTCAGAGTTCAATCCAAACTAAATGCTTCAGCAAAAAATAAAAAGAAAGAGAGAACACTAGGCAATGTGACAGATTTGTAGTAGTGAAACGGTTGTGATTTATCAGCTGAGTGTGGAGTGTCTCTTTATCAGCTTTGAAGGCAGAAACACTGGTGGACAGGGATTCAGTTTGAGATCGCTAGACTGTGCGGACATATTTCAGCTCTTTGACTTTATTGCTTTTTCTGCTGACTCGGGCAGTCAACTGTTATAGGTTAAATAGAGGTTCTGTCCCCTCATTTTTTTCTTTTTGAATTGATGGTTCTTCTGGCTAGTCATTAACATACAGTATATATCTTCAAAAGGGGACAAAACCAGTCAGAATCAGTCAGACAGCTCTGTTAACTCAATAAGCATTATATTCAAAACACATTCAGTGTTTTAGACCAGGAAATGAATACACGCCATGAATACTTTTTTTTCCCTTTTTGGTACAATCAGATTTGAAAACCCAGAGATTGTGACGTTGAAGAACTTGACGAAGGAGAGCACCGGGGTCTACAAGTGCACGGCCAGCAACGATGTGGGAGAAGACAGCTGCACGGTGGAGGTCAAGCTGCACTGTGAGTGGAAACCCTAGTGAACACTGAAACAACAATACATCCACAAATGTGCATTCAGAAAAGGATGCAGCTTTCACACCCATTGTTCACCCAGCATCTGAAAACCAACAAATGATTTTTACAAATGATGATCACCTGCAATTTCACCAAATCAATGTGTAGCTGACTAAAAGTCAGGTTTTGGAAGCACTGTAAACTTTACGCCCCACCATATTTAGTCGTACTTACAATGACATTTCAAAAATAAGGGCGAGGATATTTTTTTCTTATTGTCAAGAAAGACCAGGGAAAGACATAAATAAATCATTTAAAATACCTCACAAATATTTAGTTTTAGTTTATAGACTGAAATTAATCTGAAACCCCATAGACAATAATAACTTTAACAATGGTAAACTGATCAAAGCTACTGAAATAATCAATGGAATGTAAAATCCAAGATTGTTTTGGATGGATCAAATAGGATTTAATCAGCAAACCTGATTAAATCCTATTTAAGAAAATAGCGGGTTTGTTTTGAACACGCTCTAATCTAACAATATCTTACAAAAGGACTTTTTTTTATCATTTTAGGACCCTCAAGGGTAGTCTTGTAAATATAGTACTGTATACGACTGGCGACCACTCGCCATAAACAACAGCTATATTGCAAACTGCTGCTGTCACCTGCATGACTTACTGCCCTCACTATTGATTAGATCCATCAATCACCAACTCAATCACCAGTTTACCCCAAGTGGCACGACACTAAGCCCAAAGACCTCTAAAGGCGGGATGTCAGGAAGTAAAGCACCAGCAAATAAAGTGTATTTATTGGGACATGAGGTCCAATCTGTTTCTGCTTTTTACAATTCTGGGAAAAAAGGATTATTTAAAAGTTTAGGACCTGAACAACAAAACTGATTTTGATAAAATCTCTCTTACAATAGCGATCTGACGAAGAAGACAGAAAAGTAAAACATTTCACATGCATAGATAATGCATTAAGAAGAGAACAAGAACACTGTGACAAAAACCTCAGCCAACCTTCACTTAAAAGTGTCCAGAGAGATGAGGGTTTCTAGTGTGAGTGTATCCTGGAGGTCATTCTGAGACAAGGGGCTAAGGAAGACCCCTTCTTCGTTGTCAGTCCACACATAGAACTTTCAAGCTCAGCCATTTATTGGATTGAAGATCATAGGTATTTCGTTTGTAATGTGAATTAATAACCTGCCCAAAATAGCCTTTACTAATGATGTGTTGCATCCTGTGCGTAGTAAAAAGACCTGTGCGTAGTAAGTAAAGACCATCCAACCAATGGACAGTGATAAATCCTGTAGAATGAGTTTAACATATATCACAAGCAGCATGAGAAAGAGGGTAAAGTAAAGTCAAAGTAGTGTGACAAGCAATTCTTTAAATGCTATCACTGTAGTCTGATTACAGGTTTATTCCTGTCTTAAATGTAGGGTGCTAATAGAGAGGGAATATTCCTTAGTATTCCTAGGTGTAAAAAATTAACATAGCATTAATTTAGTTTGCATTAAAGCAGTTTCAAATTATTCAAAGCATGCTGCAATGTGGCACTGTATCATCAGAATACATATGCTACATTGAGTGTTTTATGTAGACACAAATATGTATGCATTATGGAAAAACTAGATGCCCCACGATAGATCCTTGGGGAACCCCCTTCTGTATCACAACAGGATCAGAAACCAAACCGATCAAATTTCATGTAATCAGTTAAACAACTCTGAAAACAACTAGCAACTTTACAACTGGTTCCAACCTTATTCAGGAAGTTAGTTAACATGGGCCCATTTAGTGTATCAAATGCCTTGGTTAGATCTGTACTGTAAATATAGCAACACAGAACGATTGCAAGCATTATTTATACAAGGCAGATATATAAATATCAATTTTCCTTCTAGGCCTAATGTCAGTATACTCTTTCTAATCGAACTTTCTGTCTGTGTGTGTTTTGTGTGATGCTATGTGTGTAGATGTAAGGGGAATGGGTGTGGTAGCAGGGGCGGTGGTTGGCGTGTCTTTTGGGGTCCTCCTAATCATCCTCATCATCTGGTTGGTGTTCCGAAAAAAGGATAACAAGAAATATGAAGAAGAAGAGACCCCAAATGAAATCAGGTATACTCTTTTAGCACTATCATCAAAGTACTTCTGGAGTAGTGAAGTGTCCGACTGACCATGTTCCAAAAGTGGGCAACCAGAACTTCATGGAGATGATTCCCTAAATGCTGCATGAAATGTTAGCACCATTTGTTAAAACATAATTAGTTTTCAATTAGTTACTTATTTGTTTGCATACACAACCTTAGCCATCACTGTTAGCAATTTGCAAGTGTCCGGATGAATAATGCAGGCTGCTGTGGGTCTCTCCCCATCTAATGTAGCCAGCCAAAAGAGGGTTGAAAGCAAACAAACTGCTATTGTCTTCATCTGAGTAGTAAATACATAACTTGAGATTGTGCATGTGATAACTGGAAATCATGCAACCATGTGGTCATTTCAGGGAGGATGCAGAGGCTCCCAAAGCCAAACTGGTGAAGCCCAACTCCCTGTCTCATCCCGCTCTGGCAGCTCTCGCTCAGGCACCTCCTCCACTCAGTCCATGGTGCACAACATGGGGCTCCGAGGCCAGCGAGCCTGTGTTCCTGCTGTGGCGGCGCTCAAAGAAAACTGCCATGCCTCAAACTTCCCACAGTCTCCACCTGGCTACACTCAGTCCGTTCTCAAGACTCCCGAACCCCGTTCAACACCAACCTCCATTTCTACCTCCAACAGCAAGCCCAGCCTCCCCCCTAAACTGAGTCCTGCAAACCTGAGCCGCATGGGGGCCACTCCTGTCATGATCCCTGCCCAAAGCAAGGCCTTCCAGACTGTGTAGAAGATGTGACACATAAGAAAAGACCATGGCAGCCTCAGGACACTGCCACTAGCTGAACCCAAGAGTTAGACTCTCATAATTATATTATTTAGATTAATTCTCACCGTTTGCTTTCTGGTGGATACTTTCAGCAATTTAACTCTTGAAGAATCTCTGCTTTACACTAATGACATAGGAACAAGTGGGAACTGTGATGAAGGTACTGTTTTATGGACTGTGGTTTTAAAAGACAAGAAGGTATTGAAACTGAAGCAGCAGTTGGTTTCTTATTAAATTAGAGGATCGAACCACGAACAAATGGGATGAGTTAATGAAATAAGGTGAAGTCAAAACCGTGAGCCAGAGTGACATTTGATGAAATTATTAGATTACTACTTCATTCTTTTTGCAGTCAACTACTCACAGATACACATGACAAGGTTAGTTCCAAAGGGAATAGAAAAAAAGGAACAACCTTGAAGACCTTCTTACATACAATACACCACTTTACACCTGTTGCAAGTGACTGAACTGATGAAAGTAGTTTAACCGTACCTTGTTACAGTATATAAACCGGATGAATGTCTCTGATTGTATAAACAGACTTTATGTGGACATTTCATATATCCATCCATACATGTGACACATATTGTAGTAAGGACATAAATGATTCCCTACTTCACCGCCTCCTCTGATGAATCATGTACTTGTGCACATCTCCCAGTTTCAGTGTAGTTTAAGTGTAGATTAATATGGGACACTATTCATACCATCCATGTCAGAGAGAGTCAGAGAAGTGTGTGAGTTTTTTGGGGGGAAGTCAATGTTCAGGATCATTGAGCACTTATATTTTTGATTGTTACAGGGTTAGGTAAAGGCCTGACTGTGAAAGTGCCACATTGTGATGGTTTATGTTTTATTTGCTCATTTTTGTGTGAAGTATACCTTCTTTTTTAATCCAAGAGTAGAAAACTGTATGAATGTGATGCTATATGATATGTGTTATATACAGTGTTTTTTCTCAGCATTAAGTTAGTCCCATGTTAAAATGTTTGCTTTGAATTCAGTTGAGTATTATATCACTCATTGAATCATTTATATTGAGAGTAAATTACCTTGAGCACTCTAAATACATAACTAAAATAATGATCTCTAAAGAGTGCCTTTGGTCATGTCCATGCTCGTTGTGATGATCAAACAGTTCTTTTGACAGTACATTGCAAATCCTTCACAGGGAGGATAACACTAATCAGTTAATGTACGTTAGCTGGGAGAGCTCCATTTATATCTGACCTCCTTCATACCAGCCACAGCCCGCAGACAGACAGCCGCACATAGAATATATATATCCTGCCCTTGTGCCTCATCTTCCATTCAGCAGAGGGACAATACTGATCCTTCTCCGTTCCTCATTCTTCAATCACATTCCTTCCCTTCAATACGTAATCTGCCTTTATCCCTTTTCCCCTTTCAATAGTCTTGTGATTCTCACCACCTTCTTGCTCTTCTCCCATGACGCTGTTCTTGATTATTTTGCATGGTGGGGGAAGTTATAGATAAGCTTCATCCAAGACAGAGCTTTGTAACTGTAGAGTTCCAAAGCCAAAGTTATTGTCCAATGATTTAGGCCCCGTCCACACGGCTTGTAAATGTTGCCACTAAAAGCGTCCTGGAGCACGAACGCAACCCCTGTGATCCAGCCATTGTTGTTGTGAAACGCATCAGCATGACGTGGGGGTGAAGGCAGGAGAGGTGGGGAGAGGCGGGGCTATGATCGTGTGGTGCGGTACACACGGTGCCGCAAGCGTTACGTTACCAGACCTTCCCACTTTGGGATGCATTATCGTTTGAGGGCTCCGTTTCCGCGGTTCCGTTACGGCCTCGTGTGGACGAACCGTCCATACGATAAAGAACTATAGCGGATAACACCTGTTTCGTCTCTGTGTGGACGGGGCCTTAGACACGTATGATTCCATTTGACCTAATATCAGACTATGCTGGTGTTACCACACCTCTGACTGGAGAGTGATTGTTTAAACGTAGCCCACCTGAAGACTGATGAGCATAGGAATACTGCTTTTAGTAGCGTCTACTGCTTTTTCCAACTTCAGTGCATGTGATCACTGAAAGTATGTATAACATTCCACTGCATTCAGTAAAGTTTAGATTAAACATTAGCTTTTTTTGTGAGAAAGCAATTCAATCAATATTTAGGAACAAAAAAAGCCTTTTTCCATAGCCTAAGGATTGCATTCACTGAAGTTAAACACCTCAAAAGCAGAAAAATATCATTGGATGAAACGGATGTACATCACTTCTATTTCACAGAATATTTTGTAATTGTACTCAACATATTCATACACACATACATCAACAACTGGAAGCCTGAACTGGAGGCTGTGTTAGCTCTTTTAAAGTTTCAAGGATATTCACACAGAAATAATACTTTTTATCTACTTTTCATAGACCTTCAAGGAGGTATTATTTCCATCTTTCCCTATCAACACACATTTAGTGAAGTACTGGGAGTACCACATTTGGATAAAACCTAGCAAGAATAAGATGTGTCATCCTAACTGGATAAACTCCAACTCATCACTCCAGACATCGGCCATTAAAAGGAAGCTAGATAGAGATGCCAATTTGTCTCTGTGGATATTATTTTGCTTATCTACAATTATACTTGTTAAGGGGCCAGTACACTCCATCAGAACGGCTTGTCAGAGGGTTGAATGGCCCCAGAACCCCCCCACACACCTGTTTGATGTTATATTAGGGGGATGTGTATGACTATTTACTGTATATGTCTTTTCACAAACAGACAATCCTACATTTAGCTGTGCAGGGGTCCGGCAGATTAAACTTTTTCAACTTCTCTCTTTTTGTCCTTCAGGTTAGGAATTCGTCACATTTTCAGAGATAGTCTTTTGTTCTGTTGAAAACCTACAGGCTCATGTCCCTTTTAACTGAAAAGAAGCACCATTATCAATGCAATGGGGCCTCCGGGGCCCCTACGATACATACAATGTAAAGTTATTAGAAATCTATGGGGTAAAATCCACCAATAAAAGCTGAGGAATGATGGTTATATGCATGTTACAGATACTAAACTATAGGAAGAATTGTATTATTTTGTTGCCTCAATGCTTATATAGAATATAAATGATACTCCTTTAGATATAAATTATAATGGTCATAGAATTTCATCTGTAAATTCATAAATCTATATTTTTTGGTTTCCATTTCTGGATTTGTTTATTGTATGCATTCACCACACAGTTCTTTGTACCCTCTTGAAACTTATTTATGTAAATATGAAAGTCCTCACTGTACAGTGAACACACCGCAGGAGAGGGGACCCTGTCTCTTATGATATTAATATCATGCTTTTATTTTGATGTGGGCTTGAATAAAAAAGCCATTTATATAGTCCTCTGCTTGGGTGAAAGAGTAATATTTGTACAGAAACTGTTTTTTTGTTTCTTTTGTTCTTTTATAAAAAATAAAACTTTGAATGGGGATACACAGAGAGTTACTGTCTTTATTCCTGGCACAACAACACACTTTTCCTTTTAACAGTCTGCCTAGTTTGTGTTTTTAAGTAGCTACTATTAAATAAGGGAGCTTGCTCTGCTTATCAGACAATAACTGGGCCTAAACAAATGGTTGGATGGAAATAAAATACATTCTGACTGCTCTTCAGCATCCTGGAAATGATTAATGTGGGCTAGTTTGATGTAGCAGCATCTTTTAACAGGAATGGTCTTCTCTGGATGGCAGGATACTCTGACAATAAGCAATTTCCCAATGACTTGTTTTTGAATGGGCATTTCTACTGGACTGGAAGCAACAGTCCTGTGCAGTGAGAGAAACTGTCGTGGTTTTATCAGAAGCAGCCATGCAGCTCTGTGCTGTATTAATGGATGCTTCTACATAAGAGTAGGCCTACATAATACTGCAGGATGGAATACGACAGGAAATTGCCCTGTTGAACTCAGATTACCACATGTAAATCTTGAATATTAAAGTTGGCCATAATTACTCAATCATTTGAGAGTGACATTCAATGTTGAACTTGATGATGAGTGTTGAATAGTGAGACACTTTTAACTGCAGGTCTACTGAGTTTCATCCAGAGATTTCAACTGCATCTTAAAGACTATACTGTACATGGACCTAGTTTTTTTCTTGGTCAAACAATTTAATCTTTGTTAGATTTTTACCCCACCCAGCTATATAAACCATACTGCTCCACTGAGACACAGATTCAAAGGGTAATGCATCTAAGAAGAAGCTGTGAAAGGGCTCTATTCTGCTTATTCTCTAAAGACAAAGGAATTTAACCAATAAAAACCTGTGTGAAACCGGAAGGCAATTTGAATAGCTTGGTCCTACAGTATGCCTTAAAACTTGAGTAATTGCTGATCCTTTTCCTAAATCTAACCAAGTAATTTTGTGGCATAATCAAACATGAAACATTTTGATATAGAAGGCTGATATCGCCAAACTTCATTTATTTGAAGTGGTATTCCTTCATCTAACAGCAGACTTATGTATATTGTTGTTATTATGTTTTTTTCTTTATTTCTTTCTATAACATTTTTAAAAAAAAAAGTATATAGGCCTATTGGAAAATCCCGTCTGAACATTTCCTTAAATTGTATTCTTAAAAACGGATGTATAGAAGTGCATTTATATAAAAGTACATCTCCTTTAAATATATATATATATATATATATATATATATATATATATATATATATATTAGGGATGCACGATAATTATCGGCCCGATAATTATCGGTCCGATATTAGGAATTATGACGTCATCCCGATAAACCCGATACCAGTATTAATAGCCCCGATAATATACAATATATTTTTTGGGTAAAAAAAAGAAAAAAATACTGCGGTGTGGGTGGATTGGGATGAGGGGCGCTTGTTTTTCACTCGGCTCCTCCCATTTTGCCAGTACTGTGGTATTAGTGGTTTAGGAAGAGGGGAGTTTTTCACAAATCCAGCGCTCCCTAACTCATGCCTGGCTGTGACGTAAATGGTGTGCGGCCGTGAAGCCAGGACAGTAAACAAACATGTCGTCGGTGGTATGGGCGTTGGAGCTATGTGCAACTCAAGGCATATGCTCGAACCGGAGCTGCCTGAACGCTGTAATCGTGTTGCGCACTATCCGTGCTGAGTGTGCTGACTTTTCGTACAATGTCCCACTGTCAAGTGCTCGGCGCAGTTGTGGCGAAATGTCGCTCCTCTGTTTTCATTTAAACAGCTCCGTATATCCGTTAGCGCAGCTAGCTAGCACCAGATGCTAACAACAACAATGCACGTAAGGTCTCTCTCTCGCTCGCTCGGGCCACACATACACACACCCTCCCGGTCCTCCAGATGGCCAGTCGGTGCCTGCCGGTGAGCGTGGAAGTGTGGTCTGCCACAAGCGGGCGACAGGAGCGGGGCTGTCAGCATCAGCTTGTAGATGGTATTTTAAACTCGATGCGCTCTGAAACTACGGGGCGGCCCGAAGAAAAAAAATACACATGCGTTAATCGCGTTAAAATAATTAGTGGCGTAAAACATTTTTTATTATCGGTTAGCGGTATCGGTATCGGTCTTGAGAAGCAGGAAGTTATCGGTATCGGTATCGGTTTCAAAAAACCAATATCGTGCATCCCTAATATATATATCCAAAGTAGATTACTTAATTGAATTATGAAAAAATAATAATAAATCTTTCACATACTGTATGACGTTCACTGTAAATCACTGTCGATTAAAAATGATTAAAAATGAAACCATTAACATGACATAAAGCAACAGTAGGACCTGATATATTGAACTCTCAGGTTTAAGGTCAAAGGCGGCCATTATTCAACAGCTGCATGTGTATCCCAAGCCCCCAGGAAGTGCGCCGGACTCTGAGGAAAATATTTGTTGTGGCCAAACGGTGGTACTACACTTCCGTATCAGTCGCTGGGCCCGGAAACACTTTTTCCCATTGACTAACATTGGGAAAGAGACGTCTGTAAATCGTTGGATAATTTGTTTTAATCTAAATAAACTACCCAGTATGAACATTTGTAAAGCCCTTAAAAACATTCGGTCCTCAAGTTGTAAAATGTGCAAATAAGTTAATAACGTTATTCTGAGAGTTTTTTTTCCTCGGCATTATGAACGCGCCGCCCAGAACATTCATGTGACGTGTTCAGTAGCCTACTACATGAGTTTTACCTTTAGGCTACCCATGGATGCACAATAAAAACGGATTATATGAATACTTTTGAGACGTTTCGCTCTCTCAAAAGTTGGGCCATTTTGTCTTCATGCGCCAATGAGCAACTCTCACAGGAATGAACGAGGCCCCGCCTCCCACGCTGTATCCAGTTCTTATTATACATCCATGGTGTATCCAAGGTAATGTTGACAGGTTGATTGTTGACCTAACATTGATGAGTGTTAAAGGGGCGTAATGCAGGAGGCAACAGAAAAACTATCTGCAAAGTTTACTTAAACACCCTCCAACGTGTTGATATTTCAGCCATCTGTTTGACCATGGTTTGTTAAATTGAGTTATATACTCATTGCCCAGAGTTAAAGTTTGAATATCCATTGTTCAGCCAATGTTGGTCTCTAGTGGTGAAGAGCTGCTATTGCACCATGTAATGGACAAGGACAGTT